CTGAACAAGAACTATTATACTTCCCAGAAACCCATATATTTTAATGAAATTTGGGGTATTGTAGAAGTGACAGTCTGCTCTGGTCCATATTAGTTATTTTTATTTTTTTATTATGATTACATGTATGTGTTGCCAGTATGAATATTGTTACCATTTGAATAAAAGGCTCTAAATTAGTTGATGTCCTCTGAATCAAGTTACATGCAACTTTGTATGCAGCAGGATTTCTAGTCTAATTGAATAAAATAACAATATAAATTATTAATTTATAAAAAAAACATTTAATATCTTCATATAATATACATGTATCTTCATACCTTCATGTAATATACAGTACCGTATCATTAAACTACTGTACTTTTCAGTCATTATCTCCAATATTTATTTTGAAATAAAACAATTCAGTCATCAACTACTTAATCTATCATTTGCACAACAAGCATGTTAATCGCCATTATTTACAACTAACACATCCACTTTTTACCACCACAACCATAAGTACCATAAATGAATTGACCTAAAATTATATCAAGCTCTGTGAAATACCTTTTTTGGCTCAATAATGTTKATAAGAACACTGTCTAATAATTCTTGTGATATAGATTCACTCTCTTCAAATATTGGACTCATTATTTCTACCATAAAAGATTGTTCTTTGACAGTGTGATTGTCGCTGTAAGGTAATAAAAATGATGAGTTGAGGATAATGCTCCATTATATACAATCCATAGAAAAAACGTTATACCAGTAGAAACACATGCATAAATATATAGCATACTGTACAACTTACTTCACTACACCAAACAAAAGCTTAAATAGCTGCAAAATAAGATCTTGAAAATCAAGCTCAGCRCATATGTTGAAGGTTCTCACCAATGCAAGGCTCTGTTTAATGCAAAACAAAAATATGCATTATTAGCTATAACAACCCTTATGCAGGTTAATGCTAAGGTAAATGTATGAAGTTATCCTTTAGCAGCATGATACATAAAATGGACAAGAATTGTATCAAATAAAATCTTACAAAGAGCAGCCAAGGCTTCATTTGAAGTAAACACATTGAAGTTAACACATTATAAGATATTTTAATCAATAMTAACATGCAACATATCAATGAAAAGGTATGCTGTTTTGCATAAAGGATCAACATTTCATGCTTTTACATATGATATGTTTCAATTTGTTATCAGGCGCAACTACTATTCCATAAGAAAAATATCATAGAATTTTCATGGAAATATTATTTTGCTTGATGGAAATGAAAAAAGCTGTGTGGTTTGTGTGACCGGGCCAAGGTCCTCATTTACCGAGAGTATTTGACTCTCACTAGTGGATGATTGTCATAACCTCACAAAGTTACGGTTAGAGTAATGTAACTCTGATTTCAACTAAATAGACTACATATTACTTTTATATCCAGACAAACAGAACCTTACTGCTTGAAGGGTAGGACAGAACTGGTTTAATCACATGTAACACAAGCTTATACAACGACGAAGCGATTTCCGGAACGCGCAAATTGATTGACAGGAATATTTTACATGACATTGACGAAAGACAAACACTTTTAAAATAACGAACTAACGTCATGTGAAGTTTACAAAAACTTCACTTGCTCACATTTGGAAAGTACAGTTGWAGGCTCTAGTTCCTACAGAAAGTTTTGAGCATATTAATCATAATGTTAATTAATCAAAAATATAGATTAAAAAATTACTATTATATTAAACAAACATACCTCTAAAATATAAAAACGTTTCTTGTATTTAGTTTCATTTGGTCCATGTTCAAGTCCTCTTAGTTGACTGATTATAAGTGAAAATACATCCTGCAATGCAATGCAATCACGCAGTGAGCATTATTTATTCATATCATTACTTTCATCTCTTTCAGTTTTACTGGTATTCATATCAATCAATGATTCCTTATAAAGATCAACATACAGTAAGCAAACATTTTTACAGATTAAGATAATAGCCAGGCTCCATTAAATCCTGAATGCTTCTCTTATGTTCCCTAATACAATACAGAAAGAAGTAGCAGCATCCTTATCCCAGACGACATGATGATCTAACCATTTGCAGGTGGTCAGCAACCTCTTCTCAATTATTTAAGAATCTGAATGGTAGTCTTCCTTGGGACACAACCCTTGACCTAAACTGTAGCCTCCTCCCCAGGCAACTCTGGTTTCCTCCTTTGGGCTTCCTTTGTAACGGTCATCTTGGCCGTTAGGAACTTGTGACAAGAAAGGAAAAATAAAAAGAGGAGACGCTCCCCTTTTCTCRCTCCATCTTCCCTCATTTGACTCACAAAAAAGACAGGAAGCCAGTGATTCTTTGTGATACCTGCAGAGGAGGCTAGACCCACTGCACAATAATCCAGTACTCTACCAACTGCACTAAACTTCTATTTTAGCTGCTAACAAGTAAAATATTGTGATACTTGTGTGAACCAGGCTTAACATTTTATTACTCATAGATGTAGATGTGCCTCTATTGCAGGAATTATATTTACCAAAATATTGATTTCTTGCAACAAATCCAATGTATATATTTTAGTTAAGTGTAGTATATTTTGATTAATGTTTATCAAGCTTGGATAACTATTAGCTTGTACTAATGACCATAATGGAGTGGGGCAGCCTAGCTTGGGAAAAGAGTGAAAGACCCTGACCATAATAGAGAGCATTGACTGGAAAAAAAGGTACATATTTCTGACCTACCCACATCTGGTCTTTATCAAATGGTGCTTCTGGAGCATATACTCTTAGAATATCAACAAGACAAAGTGCTGCATGTAGTCTGACATCTTTGTCTTTGTGTTTAATAATAAATGGACTGGCAAGAAAAGCTGCTTGAGCATCGTAATGATTTGTATTCGTTGACTGCTCTGCACTTGTAAGCTCTTCTGCTAATGTCTGTAATGCAAATTAAAAGAATTAAACCTGCAAGTATTTACAACCATATCCTCACAGAGATTCTAATAGCTGAACAATATCCGAAATTTTGTTATCCCTGATCCTTCAAAAATTGAATCCGATTCTGATCCCAGAATCGGTGAACCTGAATTTTACGGCGAAAAATCTAGTCTTTAGTAATCTGGTGGTATTTATTTTAAGCTTATTGCGGTACTTCAACTCGCATGTTAGAAAGAATGGTTGAGCTTTACTTGCTTAGAATCTTATATTAGCTAACTATATATAACGAATATGTCAACGAAATATAAAGGCATAAATGTGGACAAATCTGAATTACTGCACTTAGAAAATCTAGTCGTTATTCACTATGAACACGTTATTTTCTAAATTCCTGTAATTTACATGGAGAAAAAACACAAATACGTAGTAGTTTATGATGTCGGTTTCGGACATACAACTTAAGCCACGACTGGGCTTAGATAAGCTGTCATCAAATCAACATTGCATGCTGTATAAAAACTTACATAAAAGGCAAACAAACTTAAAGCTAGACTTCATCAAATTCAATAAAACGAAAAGAAAAACTACTTTAAAAAAGGATTTACCTTGAGTTGTCGAAGAAGTTCTTCATTGGAAAGTTTGGCGTTCAATGTTGTTGTTTCGGACGACGCGCCGTTTTTCTTCTTTCGCTTTGACGATGAGCTCAATTCACGTGGCATTTTAACAGATCTCGCTTTAGAAGCTCATGTAAGCATAAGAAGATTCAAAGTTTGACTTTGTTATTTCGTATTTCTTGGGAAAACAACCTATCATCTACCATTGATCGATCATTCTCCTTCTGCACACTAATCAAACTTTGTAGACTTTGGCGCGAACAGACCATAATACCTTACCCAAAATGCATTGTGGGATCACATCGCATTCTCGTGCGGCCAGTTTATAATTTTCTTTTCTTTCTCTCTTTTCTTTGTCTCTATCTCTCATTGTCTTGTAAATTCTTGAGAAAATGACTACCGGTACATTGTTTTATTTGATACAAAACTAGTTACACAGCTACTCATTATAGCGATTAGTGACATCATAAGCGTAAACCTGATTCGTACAGCAAACTAACAGAACTCTAAGATGCTCTCCAAACAAGCTAGATTTAGGTTATATAGACAGTTCGATATGGTTGAAGCATGCGAGGGATTATAATGCAAAATCATGTTTGGGAATGGGTCAACGGAAAATCTCTCAATAGGTTTTTAGCTGCTGGTCTTGTTTTGTATGTTGTCTTTCGGTCAGGTTTTTATACGTTTGCGCGAAACCAAATATATACATCAGATGAAATGGAGCTCAATCTCAGCGATAAGCAGACAGCTCAAGATCCAGAGTCGAATGGTGAAGGATCCTCTSTTGTTGCTAAAAGCTCAAAAGAAGTTCTAAAAACAAAGCAAGGTACTAAAATTTTAAGACTAGCGGAAACAGACTGGAAACTACTAAAATAACTATAATGTCCCGTAATAAGGGGAAAAGTAAGAAAGGGATAGAGGGAAGAAAGAAGGAAGACAAAATCGAGCGAAGAAAATTAAAAAAATTAAGGAGGAATAAAAAAAACCCGGCAAGGTTTGAAAACCATCAGAACGAGGCTAACACACGTGCATCTCGTGCTGTTCACTTGCGCGGTTACTGAGCATCATATTTCCACACAAATGAATGGAAGGTTGAAAGAAATCTTTGTAATTTAACCATTTTTTCCAACACTTTCAAGGTAATACTTACAAAGAATTGTTGCTTAATCTATTTAGTGATGCCTAAAGTACTGAAATAACTGGTGACCGGTATAAAGGCTAGTCAGCTGTCTTCTTGCATTGCTATATGACATGGACATGTTGTTGCTACTGCTGTTGTTGTCTTGCCCTTGCAATGCCATGCTTTTCGATTTTTAAGCTCATGCGTGTGTTTGTGGTGTGCGAGATGCTAAAAAACGTCTCATAACCTTCTGCTGTCATTTGAGTTTGTCTTTTATTAGCCTAATATCTTGAATTTTAGTCGCGACCAAATACCTTTTATTGCACATTAGAATTATCATGACGTCTCGACTGGTTTATTAGCCTTCATCCAGCTTTAATTTAGAAGTTTGATTATTTAACCATCATCATATCGAAAGACTAGATAAGATGAATGGTTTACAAAATGAATGAGTACCTATGGAACCAATGTTTCATTCATATTGATTTTTTTGTATAAAGCAATACATTACTGTCATTATAATTTAAAATTATTATTTGAATCATTTAACATATTATTGGATACATTTCAGTTCACATTAAGTTGACTATTTCCAATGTTTGAAACCTTAAAGGTGTATATAAATGAACAGAAATTAGAATCTCAATAATTGTAAAAGGCAGTTTGAATTATTTTAGAATAATTTTGTTTGTATCATTTGTGGGGCCCAGCTTTCTTCAGTTGTGCATATTGCACAGTGAAATACTTTATTTCAGCTACATGTATAATACAAACTCACTAGACTTCTTGTACATTTTGTAAGCATTCAATGAACTTCATCTAGTAGGGGACTCTGGGGATAAAAGATCCTGATTATGCTCTTCTGGAATTATAAAAAATGCCCCTAAAGTTCGAGGGTAATCAAACACTCCAGGGTTAGGAAGAAGTTGTAAATCAAAAGGTTCAAAGTGTCCAACCCAGGAAACAAAGTTATTGATGAAGTACATTTAAATTTGCTCAAATCCAAGTTAAAAGAAACACAGTTTGTTTAGAATATTGAATATTTTTGCTTTTTTCAATGCACCCTTGGAACATCTGAACGAAAATTGTATAATTACAGGATTTCATTGAATTTTGACGTTCTTGCATCGTTAATTCAAATTTTATCATGATTTTAATGAAATTCATGGGCAAGTTTACACATCACTCCTTCAGAAAAAATATTGTGCAAGACTGAGATTGAGAAGCTCATCTTTAATGTATTTGCCAATGTAATTTTACAAGAATTGGCACCTTTTAAACAATCAATTTCAATCTAGAAGGTCAGCAAATGTCTTATTTTTCCCAACTTTGATGCATTGTCAAAATACCTTTCAACAGTACTATTGTATGTCTGAGAGAATGAATCATCAATACTCCAGTTTCGAATTCAAAGCGAATAACCGCTGTTTTACTTGACAGCAGATTCTATTGCGCAAAGAACTTACCAAAGACAAAAGAAGGAAATGTTGCTAATACAATGTAGATTCTTAGCGCTATTAATCTACATTTCCCCCGAGTTGAGGGTAACCCTGCTCATATCTTAGGTCTTATGAGAATGCAGGGTTAATCTCAACTCGGGAAAAATGCAAATTTTCAAGTCTATTGTAATAATGACATTTTCTCGTGTTCTCTTTTGTGTTTGTAAGGTTTTTGCGCAAGAGAATCTGGTGTCAAATAAAGCAGCGGTTATTCGCTATTAAATCGAAAACTGGAGTATTCTATCAGTAGAAAATTGTTGAATCTTTTCAGGAGTTGTCCATAACTTTTAAAAGCATTTCTGCAAAAATTTCCAGTAAACCAGATCGAAAATCAATGCTACAAAGAAAGACAAAAATTGTAAAAGTTTTAGATTCGTGAACAGAAACACGATTTCCAGAATTTTCATCTTTCTGTACTTTTGTTTTGCTTTCCTCTTTTTTCCCATTTTTAATTCAGCAAACGTCAATTACAGTAAGCAATCACATATGCAATTTTCAGCATGTTTAGTAGCACGAGTCAACCCTGCTGTCAGGGTCTAGTTTTGGAAATGATCTCTTTTTCTATAAATTAAATGTGATACTATAGTTCACAGTAATAGACTTGCAACTAAACTACTGTCACTACTTATGTGATACAAAGTGTTTGTTATATAAGAAACAATACTGTATATGTTGTAGTGCAGGTTCAATATATTTTCAATCTAGTTTAATCTAATTTGTTCCAGTACAAGACTTCTTGTGCTGGTCCTTTTTTTTTTTTTCGCTTTGGCATTCTTAAAAGAACTAAAAGAACTATATCCTATCTCATTATCTCCCATTTTCTATCTTTCATCTTATTTTCTACCTTCTCTATTTCCTACTTTATCTTACCCTATACCCCACAGACATATTGATATTTTCTATATTTAAAATTAATGAATAACAATTACCTTCATCAGGGTTTGAACCACTGAACTCTTGCTTCATAGTCCACAGTACTACCAATTATTATACCATCAAGGATTTTGTTGGTAGTAATGTTTGCAAATTGTTTTTATCTTAATTGTAATTTATTAATGAAGAAAATTATCATATAATGCTGGCTCAACCCTAAACCTAACCCTAAACCTAACCCTAAACCTAACCCAAAACATAACCCTAAACCTAACCCTAAACTGATTTGTACTGGATTGAGTTATATTGGACTGGCTCAAAATAAACTGAACCAGTTCTGAATCAGAAGAAATTGAACTGGTTCAAAATCATATTGAACCTGAACTACAACATATATAAAGCACATATTAACCTGAAAGATATATGTAAGTGATGGTTCATTTGTTTCCTGTTGAATACAAGAATATTTATTTATTTATTTTTTATTTATTTATTTATTTATTGTTGTATTTTATACCTAGACAATAATTTGATATTAAAAGATATGCCTCCCAAAAGAAAGCGAAGGGTTTCCAGGGACGAAACAAAAGCCAAGAAATCAAAAGAAGAGTGTAGAATAAGGTAATTGGCTGAAGATAATTATATCATATTACACTTCAACTTGCTTTTTAAGTAAATAGACTAAAACTATACAATACATTGTATAGACATGCTTTTTAGAGCAGAATCTGTATCTTGATGTCGGTTTATGACCCTGAATTGTATCATCCATTGTGTTAATGATCACTGTTCAAATAGCCCAATGAAGTTAGCAACAAATCAAACTGTGATCTGATTATTAAAAAAAACACTTGATTCCATCATTTGCATTGCTATATCACAACTAGTGCATAATAAAATCATGATGTGTAATTAGCTACTTATAGACTGCACATCACCCCTAAAAATGGAACATTTTGAACAAATTCTATAAAACATGAGCTTTCAAATGATGTATTTTTGAGCTCAGTTAGATAAATTCTGAGCGAGATATTTGAGTTTGAATGTGCGCTTTTGGGTAGCCTGTGTTAGGTTGGAAGTGGGTCGAAGGTCAGCTGTGACGTCAACTTAGGCTTACGGGCATGCGTATTCGGCTCAAAAACATCTATCACCTACTTGAGAAAGCTTGACATTTATTTACTTCGAAGGGAATATTTTTACTTTTTTATGCAATGGTTTTTCGATGTTGTGTCGCCAACTTTATAGAAAAACTTTATTTCAAATTCCTTTTGAAAAAGACGAGAGAACAATGCCTATAAAAAGCGAAGACAAGCCAGGATTGACTTTGTAGCTGCTTCGAATCTTACGTCGACTAAGTTGCATTCATCGCATCGCAACGCATCAGTCGATCTCTTTAAAACATTAAGCTTCAAAAACATTTTGTAACAAGAGTGCTGTACAGTTTTGTCCACATAAGCACCTAGTGATACAAAAAATAAACATAAGTTTACAGTATAATTTAATGTCCAGGAAGCGTAATCAAAGCTCGTGCGTTTTGAGAAACTTTTCTTTGTAATCTAGTCTTTGCTATAATTCCTTACGAAGATTTTCTTCGATCTCCTTTTTCTAATAGTCTTCAAACCGTACTTATTCAGCTAGCGGCTCTCCCTCGAACGGCACGCAACAATCGTCGATGTCTCAACGTTTTCGCATTCTTCGTGGTAGTTTAGCGGCAATGTTACGATACCAGNTTTTGTGGATTTTTGAACTAGATTTTGCCATTGATTTGCTATTCTGATGCGAAGTGCGAGAATTACTTACAACCTTGACAGTTCGATGGTACCTAAGCTGATGTCATATCCTGTGACTCGCACCAGCTCTCGTATTCCCGGCCAAGGTGCGGTCGTAAAAATGTTCAAAAATCTATAAAAAATTCCTCATTGCTTCAAAATCAATTCTGCTAACGGGAAATGGTTACTGAACTACTACAAATTGCTTCAAATTTTTTAATTTTTAGGGGTGATGTGCACTTTAATCAAAATTTTCAAACAACTATCTTTGGTAAAATGTAAAATAAATTAAACAATATTGAAAATCATAATATTTTTGCAGCAAGTCAATTATGTCATGTCCAGGGGATGATGAACTCTCAAGACCATTTTCTTTGCGTAAATGTAGATCGTGGTTTCTTCAATATGCAGGTAAAGTATGAAGTATGTTGCATGAAGGAAACAAACTTTGGATGTGTGCAACTTTTTTTGAACATAACTTCAACTTCATTCACTTCAGTTGCATATCTAAATGAATACTTCTGGCGATAATAATTAGTTGAAACACCCAATTTTTTAACAACCCAAATTCATTTACATTACCTAAAATTTTCAAAGAAAATAATCTTAACCCTTCGTATTTTAATAACATACATTTATTTTAATAACATACATTTAATGTTGATTAGATGTCTATAAGCTTTCAAAATTGTTCGGTTAATACAACTTACAGAATATACGTGTTTACCCTGATAATTGCGACTAGAATAAGTCATTCCTATGCACCTGAGAGTGATTTGCCCAGACTAATTTTTATTTCTTTGTAAATCTCATGCCTTGCTTAGTAATCACACTGAATTTCATTGCAAACAAAATACTTGCACATAGAAAAATTGTTCTTTTTTTAGGTAGTAATTTGCATACATAACTACATATGTAAACACTTCGAGTTCCAGAAAATTTTCTTTTTTACTAAATGCTCTAAAATTCAATGAAATAAATAAGAAAGAGCTACTTAGAAAGCCACAATTTAAATTTTTAAAATTACTATTTTGCATTTCACTCAAGCTCGGTAGAAAGTTTGGCTATTTTGAGTGCTATTTTTAGCCATCAAACATTTCTCATGCAAAGGCTGAGTATGTGACATTGTTTAGTGATTTTCTTGCGAAAAACAAAATATTTTCAAAAACCAATTACACAGCGAATGTTACCTAGTCATATCTTATCAATATACAAAATATGAACAGATTTGATTTTTCGAGGTTTGCCAAGATATGTCTGATGTTTGCGCAAAGCGGCTCTTAATTCTGTTGTTATATTTATCAGTGTGACTGTACTTATTTGTTGATAACATTCTCCTACAGCCCAAGATGATCCTGAAACTATAGGCCCAGATGGCATTGAAAGACTTTGTAAAGATTTAAGTGTAGACCCAGAAAATGTGAGTAAAGTTAAGTTACCAAGACCAAGAGAAAACTGTGCATAACTATATTAGAATTACTCTTCCTTAGCAGAAAGGGTTGCACTTTGAATGTTGCAAACACAATTAGAGTTAGTAAGACTGTACATGGAATATAGTCTTGTTCATGGTTCCCAGCACTATCTTGAAATGTAGCCATGCCTTTGCATCAAAGTGAGACAACCATTGAGCCTGAAATCATATCAATTTAATTATCTATAGATGTGAACGAAGGCTTCTATCATTGCATGCTCAATGGTTGCCGTTTTTCAATGAAAAGGCATAGATACCTGGACGTCTAGTGAAATGTGAAGGAGACTATTGTGCCACTCATATTTTGTGCTTATGGTAGTCAGCTTCCACTTGCCACTAAATTATTGATAACCATCAAACATTGCTAATAGGAATTGAAATGGTTAATAATTGTTGTCAGTAGATTGGTTTTCATAAATCTGTTAAAACAAAATATACAGTGTAATTGTCAAAGTCAAATACGATAATCTGTTTGACACCAAAAAAAAAAGTTGCAATGTAAAGTAGAGTAAATAATAACGTATGATTATAAAGCAGATTGTATTTGTTTATTATAAGGAACAATTTCTTAGGCTTAGAGTACAAACAAAAAATGTGTGCAACACTTTCCATTATTTACTACAAAATAGTATTAATTAAACAATAGAAAACAATAMAATTAGCATCATTTAGTGGTATTTATGTTGCACAGTTTTAGTGTTTGTACTCTATTTCTTGGGTATTCAAAATATTTATTTATTTATGCAAATTAGCCTTTTTGGCATTTTTACAAGTCTTCTCATAGATAAGCCACACCCCCGATTTGGGAACAATTTTTTTGAAAAAAAGTGTGGCTTATAGATGAGTAAATACAGTTGTAGTAATTGCTAAGTGTATTTTCACAGTGTCTGGTAATGAAAACCACTTGGTAGGGAAATTCTCTCAAGTTTATTTACTGAATTTGTTGGCTGGTTGGATTTTTTTAGGTTGTCATGTTGGTTATTGCTTGGAAACTTCAAGCAGAAACACTGGGATTTTTCAMATTTGCAGAGTGGAGTAAAGGAATGGGGAATTTAGAGTAAGAAATAGTACACTTTTGTTGTAACCATCAACTAATGATATCAATAATGGTTATATACTATGTAGGAGTTTTTTGATAAAATCATTAAATTGTCATTTATCTTGTGGAACTGCTCAACAAGAGTTCAATTACCATTTTGATTTTAAGGAGTTTGGCACAGGCTGTTTGCTATTAACTGACATGTATGGAGTATTCTAAAAATTCCTGTACAAACAGAAATACATGTAGCCTCATTCCTAGGATTACATAGAAAACAATCAATTTACACATAGATTTGAGGCTATTCCCGCCTGTACTGGAATTTTAAGAATATTCCATACTTACATGGTGCTTACACCATCTTTATTGCATACATCATTTGGAACTTCAGGTGTGATTCTACTGCTAAACTTCAAGCACGTCTTGGAAGTTTATCAACAATACTTAGAGACAATCCAACTTTTAAGAAAGTTTATCGTTATGCATTTGATTTTTGTAGGGTAAGTTAAACATTGAAAAGCATATTTGTTTTATATATATTTGTAAGATTATATTAATTTATGAATTGATTATTTATTCATTGATATACATTCGTTTGCAAAGAAAAAAATTATTTTGTTTTTATGTTTATTTATGTATTCATGTATTTTACAGAATCGAGATCAAAGAACACTGGATATTGATACAGCAATGGCAATGTTAAAAGTTCTTCTTAGAAATAGATGGGATCTGCTAGATGGATTCCTTGAATTTTTACAGGTGGGATATCAACATCAACATATCTTCCTACATGCTAGATAGCATATTTCTAAACAAAGTTAGGTATATTATGCAAATCATCAGTGTAAGCATGAAATATCAAACATGGGTACAAGTGGAGAGTTTTTGATCCATGTATCAAAACACCTAGACTTTGGTTGAAGAATAAAGTTGTGTTAAGTATATTCGATGGCTAAAAGTTCCCAAGCATTCAAGTTCTACACTATATTGTACTGTCTATTTAGCACTATATGGTTAATATTTTTTCATGCTTGGAGAGTGAATTAAGTTAAAAAATTACCTGTGAATAGATATTACACTGATACATCGTTGTACGTGCTTAAGTAGGCCTTTTGTTGCATGAAACAGATTCAATCCAACATACTGGATGGCAAAAGAATGTAAACAACCTCAAACAAAAGTAACTCAACCCATCAAACTTGACTTTTCTTTGTTTTGAACACGTAGTGGGTATTTTGCCATCCAGCGTGCAAAAGGCCTATTACATTGTTTCTTTTGTGTCCATTTGACTGTCACACTTTAATAGTTAGTAAAGGTTTGTGTCACAGGTTTAATGACTTCACTCTACTAAGGTTCAATACTGTAATATCTATTTCAATTTAATTTACTTCATTTTAATTGAAGAATAAAAGTTGTTTAATGTATCTGATCTAAAAGAAGCAACATTAGCTGCTACCAATATTTTGTACTTCTCTTGTAATTGTTCCTTCAGCAATCAAAATACAAGGTTCTTAATAGAGACCAGTGGTGTAATGTACTGGAGTTTAGCCGGTCCATCTTATCGGACCTCAGTAACTACGATGAAGATGGTGCATGTAAGTTCCAGTAATAATCACATATTGATGAACTGTCTTGTAACTTCCAACTATTGTTGGATGGTTGAAGTATTGATCATTGTACATTCTTAGTGAGGATGTTTCAAACTGTTTTACAATGGATATTGTTTCTTTGTGTGGCTACAGCAAATTGCAAACACTCAAATGGTGGCAACCCACAGGGATTTTTATGTTAAAATCTTGGAAGCGTTTTAAAAAAATTGCTAGGATTTCCTGGCTTGTAGAGAAAAAAAAAGTCAGCAGATCATTTTCTTTGATTCATTTTTTTTTCGGCTCTCACATGGATTGATGGCATAAACTAGACACTTTTATTCCCTAATTAATTAAGTAAGTAAGTAAACCAAAAAGGTTTGAATGTGGGCTATTAAGTAACTCATTTCAATTAATTAATTAATAGCTGGCCACATTCAAACCTTTTTGGTTGACTTAAGGCTCAGAGGTAACAAGATACTTTATACTTTTGTTTACCTAGAGCCTTATCTTTATTTCCTTTGTGCATAAGCATTCAACCAGATATCAAAATTGGCTGTTCCCCAGCTCTCCCCAAGGGGTTCATGGCTTAGGTTTTAAGTTGGATGCATCATGTACAATGTCAACAGGTTATTTATTATGAAAAAACGTTTATCTTTCTACCAATAAATATGATCAGAACTTTAGTCATGCATTCTTCAATCTTTCCATCAACTTTTAGTATGTGTACATGTATGTTTTTCCTCAAGAAAATAGGACCCCTTTGTCAGTGTAATTTGATTGCCACATGTAATACACATTCAATTTTTATGCTGCTTCAAGCATCTTGTGCTTTGGTTGTCACCATATAAACGTACAATCTTTGTTAATAGGGCCTGTGTTAATGGATGAATTTGTAGAATGGTATAGAGAGCACTATTTAAACACCAATACAGCAACATGACAAGAACACTTTATTGTGCAGATTGATCACTGAAAGAACCTTATAACAAAGGACAAGTTGATTGGTTAATACTGTCATTCATTTGGAAGACATGACAGTTTGGTATATCAATATGGTATTCCAAAGACCAAATAAAAGAATAAGTTCCTGTTTATATATACACCTCTGATTCCTGAATCGGTTATATTATATCTGCCTTGAGCAAATGTTATCAAGTGTATTTGAAAACCATGGACTGCCATCTTCTCTCAGAGTGAGGACTGTTATAAAGTATTGAGAAACATGAAAGTTGATTTGTGCATAATTTTTCTTCCAAGCACTAGTCATAATATCATTATTATGTGACCTAGTGGCTTATTAATTGTTGCTTGTAAAACTTCTCTTGGCTGTCCTATTCTAACAATTATTATGACCATTTATGCAAGTACACTGGGTATTGCTAATAAATAATGAATTTTTCCAGGAAAATCGCCTCCTTGAACTTGTTGTCATTGATATCTGATGCTAGAAGAGTGCTAAATCTGTGAAATTGTACAAAATCAAAATAGGAAAACTGGAGTGCAACAACCTTTGAATGGCTATTGTTCTTTATGAACTCCATTTACAAAGTTGCACATGATAGAGTGAAAACAATTATTATGGTGGATCGAGGCATCTGAAATTTTGAATCATTATTGCCCTTTATGAACAGCATTTCCCTAAGCCTTAAAAAAGGAGGTGAAACAACTTGCTAACGTTTCGGACTGAAATCCTTCGTTAAAATTGTTTTAGAGAATTGTTTCAATCAGAAAACCCGTGAAATAGATAGAGTGATCGCACTTAATCCGTACAACTGTACAAATTAAAAAGTTCTATTCAGTTGTATTTAGTAAATCGTGCATGCTGTATTTATAGAGTGATTGCACTTAAAGCGTGCAACTACAAAATCTAAGAAGTATTAATTTGTACTAAAAGTGGACCTGAAGCAAGACGGTATGGAATGCTTCATTTGTATCAATTCAACGTACCGCATGCACRATTTACTAAACACAACTAAATAGCACTAATTATAATCAAAACGTTGAAAAAAAATTTCGGAGGCACCCCGCGAAGGCGAACGGTAACCTTAAGTGCTATCACTCTAATGACTTTGTCTAATCCTACACTACTTTATGCTAGTTTAGTTAGCACTGTTTGCTTTGTACTATGTTTCACGCTTTTCCTTTTTTTTTTTGCTTCAGATGCTCTAATACTCCAGAAAAAGACCCCAAAGTCAATCCCATTAACGTAGCGTTGTTCGACTGTAAGACAAAAAATAAAGTCATTTGCATATATCACCTACTTTTAATTTCTTTGTAAAAATATTCAACATCAAGTTTCAAAGCTTCTTTACAATCAATACCATTTAATTCTCTAGATCTAAAGAGATCTAAATCGTTTTAATAATGCAGATGACTTTGTTGTTGTCGTTATGTCTTTTTGAACGTTTTTGTGATAGACTGCGTATCTGGATAGTGCACAGYCACGCCCCTTTATCGCACMTTGCGGGGTAAAGCCCAAAGACCCCAATAGACCTATAATCGAATAATCGGCTAACACGTTGCTACATAAAACGTTTCCATCCAGTTCAAAAGTTGAATTCTTAGAAACAAAAGTTCTTTTTTTCCTTTGAGCTTTGTTGTACCTATGAGAGTGTAACATACTACAGCCCYCATAATGTGCATCCTTACGGCATGCCTTCTAGAACTGATTAATAATTCATGAGCTATTAGTTCATCGCATCGAAATATTGGGTCACATGATCGGCCTTTAAATCGCTACAAAGCAGTGATGTTTATTAATCAGTTCTCTATCAGACTAATAGAACCGATGTKTTACTAATCAGTGCCATTATGCATATCACTGTTTTCGCATTTTTAAGCTTTTTTCTAAAATGATAACAATTTCTGGATGTTAGAGTTTATAGAATTCGAGTGCGTGTTTTATCGAGTACGGCTCCAACCTATARTTACATATCCCGATAAAACACTCACTCTCGTTCTATAAACAACACTTATTGAAAGAATTGGCTTCCCAGCAGCACATATACGGGTGTAGTCGCTCTGAAACCGAAACCGTTTGAAACCCGTTTTTGATATAACTTGGGTACACCATCCGTTTTCTTTTTTTTTTTTTTTTTTTTTTTTTTTTTTTTTTTTTAGATAACAATTTTTTTTTTATTTACAATTAATGGCAGCAGCAAATATATGCTACACACCATCCGTTTTCTGAAATACCCGTGTGCAAGCGTAGTATGCTCAACGTTTATTTAGAAATAGGCTGTATTCGAGCCTGGGTTGCCTGTACAAAATCTTGCGCTGCGATACTGTAGTATCCTTGCAAAACGCTTCGAGAATTTTAATTTTAAAAAAGCCAATTTTCTGCCCACTATCACCGCCAGCTTCGTCAACTCTTAAACGCAACAACGGCCGTTTGGGAAATACGAACTCTTTCGAGAGTAAACAGCAAGAAAGACTTACAGCATGTCTATTTTATTGTACCTTACATCGTTTCATTCACTAATATTTGTTTCATGAGTTTGATGAACACACATACTCCGTATTGGTCAATAAAAATTACTTTATTATCAATAATTAAACAGTTCAATAACTATACAAAAATGATCCGCATCACAAGAATTTAAAAAAATAACGCACACACAAAAAAAACACAGATATATAGCACAATTTTGGTGGATAGAAAGCATATCCCTTGTTTTGTTGGTGAATATCAGAGTCATGTTAAATTTAAAAATCTTTGAAAGTATGTCAAACTATGATATGAAATGGAACTACCTATARAGTATATATACATCGGCATAACACAGACAACTTTGTAGAGAGACGATAAGTGTTTCACAGGACAAGCATGTTACTTTTTCTTTTTTCTTCCTCTTCCATCTGGTGTTCCATCCGCCTTCCTTTTCTTTTCCTTAACTTCTCCAGTTTGTGGTGTCTATTGAAAGGAAATTCATTTAAATAGAGAGAAGTCATTAAACCAGTAAAAAATATTTGACTATTATTATAATAGTGTGATAGTCAAAAGATATAATGMAGTTAGAGCGTACTAAGGTGTGTTAAGTGTAATATCATGTGTAAATATGACTGAATTRAGATAACGCAGTTGCTAACCTTTGGAGTAGCGCCTCTACCACGCTTCTTTTTCTCTGCTTTTTCTTTTTCTTCCAGTTCCACCATTTCCCTTTCAATCAAAGTGATAAGGGTGTTGCATCGACGTTGCAGTTCCTGAGAATASATGTGAGACGCAAGATAAACATCACAGCTAACTCACTATTACACGTAATTTCAATTCGGTTCACGCGTACGTTTTGCTTTATACTCCTTCATTATCGAGATTTATTGTCTGATCTTTGAAACTTAACACAGACGCGGTTTATTATCGACATTCAAGGCGTATTCCATTTTTCCAAAATTATCATTCAATTTTGAAAATATTAACAAAATGTCATATCATAATGATATAAAGCTCTCAATTGATAACAAAAAAAAAATACAAAATATATCCAGAATTTTCCAAAAAAATCTTTATTATTAATTGGACATCGAATTCTATACCATGTATGAGTTGTTTCTAGTGGTGGAAATATTAGAGCCTTTATGTCTAGATGACCATATACAGATCCTTCCTATCGAAATTTACAAAGGTTTGTATGTGGTCATTAGAGTATACAAGCTTAATGGATCATTTTCAATGAAATTCAAGTTATGTTAACATATCCCATAATTTCGGGAATATTACCTGCGCAGTCCTCGACTTGAGAAACCAATCAAACCGAAACTGAGGTGCAGTTCTACAAGCCATGCGCAGTTCATCGTATACATTCTCTTTCTCCAGTCCTAGTTTGTGAACCATGCAAATCTGCATAGAAAAGGAATATCATTATTTTGTGGGGTAAATAGTATCGACCATTGAAGTCAATAGCTGTGTAACTGATAATCTGACAAACTCT